AGGCAGTAGGTTGTTTTGGGTTTGAGGTCAGTCTGGGTTACATAGCAAGTTCCTGCCCCAGAACAAACAAACAAACAAACAAGATGGCATCCCCACACTTAGGAAGTGGAGCTAGGAGGATCAGGAGTACAAGGTCATCCTTGGCTACATGGAGACCATGCCTAAAACAAAACAAAGCACATGCATGCACCATGCTCAGGAGTGTTTCCTTACCCATTAGTTTTTTTTTTTTCTTCTGTGTATAAGTGTATTGCCTATATGTATGTAAGTGAACCTGTGTTGTACAATGCCTGCAGGGGTCAGAAGAAGGCACTGGATCCCTTGGAACTGGAGTTACGGACAGTTGTTAACCAGGTGGGTCCTGGGATTCAAACCTGGGTCCTTGGCAAAAGCAGTCAGTGCTCTTAACCTCTAAGCCATCCCCAGCCCCAACCCATTAGTTTTAAGAATGAGACTTATTGGGCGTGGTGGCACATGCCTTTAATCCCAGCACTTGGGGAGGCAGGTGGATCTCTGAGTTTGAGGCCAGCCTGGTCTACATAATGAGTTCTAGGCCAGCTCCAAGGAGACCCTGTCTCAATAAGACCAGAAGGAAAAAAAAAAGAAAAGAAAAAGAATGAGACTCTTAGCCCAGATCTGCCCACAGGGAGGCATAGAAATGGACCACCTCTGGGAGGAGTTGATTTTTCACGTCAGTGCCTTTGTTTGGAAAGCTGTAGTGAGGAGCTGGTCGCATGTCAGGTCAGTCTGCTTGGAGGTGCTGCAGCTCTCAAAAGCTGCTCGGTGGGGATGTAGACTAGACTGTCTCTTCCACATGTGATATGGGATTTAACTGTGCAAAGAGGAGATGTCACAGGGAAGGCGTTCAAGAAGAGGATTAGTGCATTGAGAACAGAGTTGCATTGAAGTGGGCTCAGACAGGGCCCTGGCACACTGATCCACTCAGCTTCCTGCTTTGTGGGACTATGGGAGGGGGCTCCAAAGGCCTTCTACTTTGTGCCCAGCGTTGCCTGTCTATAGTGCCAAATGAGGTGAGGTGGAAGCATGGGTAGGGCAGAGGGATGTGGAATGCAGGACACAGGTCTGCTGGACACCCAAGTATAGGGGTTATGACCATTTGGGCTCTGGCCACACCTGCCTTCTTCAAGGTAGGACCTTGTAAAAAGGATGTGGCCTCTCTGGGCCCCCATCCTACTCCTCAGTGAAACAAGACAGTAGGTCCAGGAGGGTTAAAGTTATGCTGGGGGTGGAAAATGAGAAGAGAAATGGCTCAGAGGATAAAGGGGCTCTCCCCCAAGCCTGGCCACCTGAATTTGATCACAGGACCCACATAATGAAAGGAGAGAACCGACTCCCATATGTTCTCTGACTGCCACATGTGTGCTGTAGCATGCACACTCTGCATAATAATAAGTAAATGGAATAAAAAATTTTAAGAGGCTGGAGAGATGGCTCAGTGGTTAAGAGCACTGGCTGCTCTTACAGAGGACCCAGGTTTGATTCCCAGCACCCACATGGCAGCTAACAACCGTTGGTAGCTCCAGTTCCAGGGGATATAATGCCTTCTTCTGACATCTGTGGGCATTGCATGACATGGGTGCACTTATACAAATGCAGGCAATACACTCATACACATAAAATAAAAATAATAAATAATAAGGGGCTGGAGAGATGGCTCAGTGGTTAAGAGCACTGACTGCTCTTGCAGAGGATCTGGGTTCGAGTCCCAGCACCCACATGGCAGGTATGAACTGTCCTTAGCTTCAGTTCCAGGGGAATCTGAAGCCCTGTTTTGACCTCTGCGGCATTGCATGACATGGGTACACTCACATACATGCAGGCAATACACTCATATGCATAAAATAAAAATAATAAAATATTTTTAAAAATAATAAAATATTAAAAAATTTAAAGTTATGCAGAACACACCCAGTGCTCTTTTGGTGTACACTATGTATTTGGGATTTATTATTTATTTTGTGGTGCAGGACTGAACGCAGAGCCGTGTGCATTCTAGGTGTATATTTAAGATTTAAGAATGCTAAGCCAGCTTGGGTGGAGTGAGGAGGAGCCAGATTTGGGCTGGACCTAGGTCTCTGACCCTGATATTCAGGTCTTCCTCAGCTGATCCCAGGCAGCCTTCTCAAGTCAAGTCACCTGTACAGTTGGTCCAGGCCTGGGCCAGCAAGATGGCTCAGCAGGTAAAAGTGGAGGCAGCACAAATCTGATGACTTTGGTTCAATCCCTGGAATCCACGGTGGAAGGATACACACACACACACACACACACACACACACGCACGCACGCACGCACGTACACACACACACACACACACACACACACACGGGGAGGGAGAGATTTAAAAAGAGAGAGAGAGATTTAAAAAGAGAGAGGGAGAGATTTAAAAAGAGAGAACGAGCCTAGGCCTTGGTACCCACAGATCAGGTTAAATTCAGTCTTGAGGAGGGATAGATACCTTAGAAGTCTGGAATTCAGGCTTCAACCTGAATTTAACCCTGGGCCAATTACTGCACCCTGTCAGTCCCTTAGTTTCCCCCTCTGTAAAAAGGGTTGTTGTGAGGTCTAAATAAGATGACCCATGAGAATGCTCAGAACAGTGCTGGGCAGTGAATGTCAGCTATGGTTAATTAGTTAATTTAGTTATTTTATCTTGTGCTTTGAGTGGTTTTGTTGTTTTTTGCTTTTTGTGGCAAGATCTCATATAGCCCAGGCTGGCCTTGAATTTGATATGTAGGCTATGTAGCCAGGGATGACCTTGAATTTCTGATCCTCCAGCTTCTACCTCGAGTGCTGGGATTACAGCTGTGTGCTACTACATCTGGTTTATGCAGTGCTAGGGACTGAATTCAGGGCTTCTAGAATGCTAGATAAATGTTCTACCAACTACATCCCCAGCACCAGTTATTATGTGTGCTTGCTTGTGTGTATATATGTGTATGGTGCTGGGGATCCAACCCAAGCCTTAATGCATTTCCTTTGAGTTCCTTCCCCTTGGCCCTACTTTTTTTTTTTTTTTTTTTTTTTTTTGGTCTTTTTGAGACAGGGTCTCCCTGTAGCCCCAGCTGGCCTGGAACTCACTATGTAGACAAGGTGAGCCTTGAACTCACAGAGATCTACCTGCCTTTGTCTCCTCAGTGTTGGGACTAAAGGCGTGTGCTGCCACGCCCGGCTTACAATTTTGTTTTAATCCTCTGTCCCTTGTGTATGTTTAGGGCTTTGCCATACCATACCCTCAGTTCTGTTGTTCTCTTGGCCTGGGTGTCCTGTCCTTACCCCAGCCAGTTCAATTCCAAAGCCCAGATTCAGAGCAGATCAACATTCCTGTCTTCTGGAGGGGAGGGGCTGGCAGGGGAGTGGGCTGAACTGAGAGGTACAGATGGCTCACCCAGGCTCCAGTAGCCAGGTCAGGGGCTCAGAAAGTGTCCTTTGCAGGGGTTCTGGTGTTTAGAGTAGCCAGAGTATTCAGGGCTTGGTGAGGTGGAGCTGTAGGCTTTGGCATCAGGCTATTTGTGCAGCTAGAGAGGGCCAGAATGTCAGAGTTTCCATGGGAGCAGGCAGAGGCAAGCAAGCAGCTGGGGAGAGAGTGACGCAGCCTCAGCCCTTCCTGCCAGGTGGGCTGGCTGGGTGTCCCCTCTCTATCCACCCAGGAGTCCTATCTGGATCTGGACACTAGCCCCAACTCCTCTGTACATAGACAGCTTTGAGAGCTAGACTAGGGAATTGTGTGTGTGTGTGTGTGTGTGTGTGTGTGTGTGTGTGTGTGTGTGTATGAGAGAGAGAGAGAGAGAGAGAGGAGGGAGGGAGGGAGGGAGATGTTTTCATGTAGTCCAAGCTGGCCTTGAACTTAACTATGTGGCTGAGAATGACCTTGAACTCTTGTTTGTTTGACACAAGGTCTTCCTGTAAGCCCAGCTGGCCTAGAACTCACTGTGTAGACCATGTTGGCCTTGGTCTCACAGAGATCTGCCTGCCTCTGCCTCGTGAGTGCTGGGATTAAAGGCCTGTGTCACCATGCCCTGCTGAACTTGTTTTTTTCAATTTAAAAAATTTTTCTTGCCAGGTGTGATGGTGGATGTGTGGTAGGAATGCACTATCACTTTATATGGTCCTGGGGATCGAACCTAGCACCTTGTGCATGTTAGACAAACACTTTATCAACTGCATTATTTCCTGAGTCCTGGACTAGGGATAATTTTTGTTTGGTCTTTTTGAGACAGGGTCTCCCTGTAGCCCCAGCTGACCTGGAACTTACTATGTAGACCAAGCTGGCCTTGAACTCACAGAGATCTGCCTGCCTCTGCTTCCAGAGTTCTGGGATTAAAGGCCTGTGTCACCATGCCAGGCCGACTAGGGATTTTGACAGAACTTGGTACCATGTTTGGTTGTACTACTGGAGAGCTTGGCCACAACCGTCTTCCCACTCAACAACCTTCCATGGCTCCCCATTGATTTCTAGTGAAATCTAAGTGTGACTCCTAAGGCTCCTCTCCTGTTGCCCCACTCTTAGCTCCTGCTGGTCTTCTCCAACCCCACGCCACTTCTAGACCATCCCTGTATCTGCCAAGCAGCATCCTACAGGTTGAAATTCCCTTTACATCATCTGCCTTTCAGTTTTCTATTCAACTATCAGGATTCAGTTAAAATGTCTCTCCATGAAGAGGTGCACCCTGCTCTGTGCTTCAACAACCCAGAGATCTTAGCCAGCCCGATGCCCCCTAGCTCCTCCAGGGCAGGGATGAGATGCAAACATCAGGGCCAGCTTCCCTAGCAGGAAAGCATCTCCATACTAGCCCCACATACTAGCCCCCACCCCCACCCCCAGCCAGACCTTTGAGGAGACAGAACTCAGCCAGTACAGACCTGGCACAGCGAAGAGGTTTCTTCAGTGCCTGGTTTCAGGACTGTCACTGTCACTAAATGTGGATGGAATGAATGCTTCCTCCAGGCATCTTCTCAGTGCCCCTGTCTTTCCTCCCCAGGTCCTGCCCCAGCTGGGACCTTCCTGGCCACTCCCACAAAAAAAGGTAAGCTAGATCTGGGGCAGGGTTTTCTGATGCCCCGGATTGGTTATGGCTGTGTAACCTTGCTTTGTCCTGCAGCAGCCAGCGGAAGCTTCTCCCAAGCCCAGAGTGCCCTTGCCGGCTGCCTCTCTTTCAGGTGACCTCAGCTCCCTGTGGCCCAAGTCGGAAGCAGCTTTTTCTCATTTGTGAACTATCTCGCCCTGCTCCTTGGCACAGTGGTGTTTGCTTGGCCCAGCCTGAGCGCTGCGGCCTGGCCGCACTCCCGTCGGCTCCCTCCCTGCCCAGCCACGCCCCTCTTGTGGCCGCTGCCGCCACCGCGCAGGGAAGCCGTGAGGCCCAGGAATTTTGGCGACAGCGGGCGCGGGTGACACTCCGGAAAAGACTGCAAATGGCAACCAGAAGGCGAAGGCGATGGCCTGGAGGCCTGCCTGCCGTGCCTGGGGACCCTCCAGTCTGGAGGCTTGGTCAGAGGTTCAAGGCCTCTGTTGGAGGCGGACACAGCGTGGCACCAGCTGAGGCCAGAGCCTCTGATGGGATGAGCCAGCTTCCTTGGCTGCCTGTCTAAGGGTGCACGGTGGCCATGGGTCATCTGCCTCGGCCTGGTCACTTTTGGGTCACCTGCCTCTGCTTGGCCATTTTTACCTCCCTGGATGGAGGCTTTGTTGCTGTGAGATGTCCTTCAGGAGATAACAGGTGTCTAGACTCCAGTTGGCAGAGGCCAGCAGCCTGGGATTAAATGCAGTCACCTGTAGGGAGGGAGGCTGAGTTTGGCCAGCCTTTTGTGGCCCAGGCTTGAGAAGGACTCAGGAAGAGCCATAGAGCCTCCCAAGGTACTGGGCCTCAGGTGGGAAGTGGCATGGTCAGAGCTGGCCCTGGAGCTCCAGCTCCAGGCTTTCTTTAATTGGTGTTGGTGGTGTTAATGAAGGCTGCAGTGGACATTCAGGAAAGAAGGGCTGGCCCACAGGTGGGATCTGAGAGCAGGAGGCAGGGTCCAAAAGCAGGAAGCAAGGACAGATGCTTAGAAGAGGAGGAGGCATCCACAGGGCCTTGAATGAGGAGTAGTTTGTCTTGAAGAGAGGGAAGAAAGGGGGATCCAGGCAGAGAGGGTCATGTAGGCAGCTATGAGAACATTTAGCTTGAGGGCACCCAGGGTCCCTGAGGTGGGAGCATGACTGCCAGGTCCACTCACAAGTTCAGGCTTTCATCTGCAGTCCCAGCCTCTCTAGTGCAATCAGATGGCTCCTCCTTTGTGTGTGTGTGTGTGTGTGTGTGTGTGTACGCGCGTGCCTTCTTACTGGGACATGTGCTCTGCTCTGCCCTCAGCTTGGATCACTCTGCCAGTCTGCACCTACTGAATCCTGATATCTCCCTCAAGCCTCCTTCCAATGCTGTTCCCTGTATATCAGGTGCAGGACATTAGGACTCCTGGGTAGAACCGTAGCCTTGTAGGGCAGACACGATCGGTAGAGGTGCAGTCCTGCCCTGCCACCCACCAGGCTAACTAGGACCCAGATTCTAGGTAGCTCTCAGGCTTTAGAGGAGCTATCACCCACACTTTTAAAATAGGGCATGGAGCCAGGCGTGCTGGCGCACACCTTTAATCCCAGCACTTGGGAGGCAGAGGCAGGCAGATCTCTGTGTGTTCAAGGCCAGCCTGGTCTACATAGTGAGTTCCAGGCCAACTGGGGCTACAGGGAGACCCTGTCTCAAAAAAAAAAAAAAAATAGGGCATGGAGTTGACAAAGATCTAGTAGACACACAGACCCTCCAAGTCTCTGCCAGTCCTTGTCTGGGGAGGAGGGCAAAGAGCTGAGCTTCATAAGCACCACACTGGCCTTGCAGAGTGGTTTGCCAAGTGACCAGCAAGCAGCTCAGGATGTGCAGAGCTGGACCTGGGTCAGGGGACCCCAGTCGGTTACAACGACTTGGGGGAGGATGGAAAGAGTCACAGATAGATATAAGTGGGTCATGGGAATGGTGACAGACACAGAGGTCTGAGTGGATGGAGATACAGATACTAAAGGCACACAGGTGATGACGTGGCAGATGAGACAGACGGGTCTGCACATGCCTATGTAGCTACTGTGTTGAGATGATCCTTAGCCACTTCTTCCCCCAAGCTCTTGGACCTAGAGTATGCTCCCTCATTGCAACCTGAGGGCTTGGCCAGGCACACCACTGACCATTCCACCCTCTCTGTATCTCCTCAGTCACATGAATGGCAGAATAACATGGAATTTATTCTGTGAGTACTAGGGAGCCACTTGAGAATCTGGAGCAGGGGAGAGCCATGGGCAGAGCTGTGGTAACAGGTGGTCCATACACAGGACCCGTCAGCATGGCTTCGGAGCTTGGAAGGATGCAGATGTTGCTCTACCTCACACTCACTGTCAGCATAGGGCTGGAACTTGTGTTTTAACATACCATCCAGATGACTCTAGTATTGGCTACAGTTTGAGAAGTGTTCTTGAAATCAATATAGGCTATGTGGAGGATGGTAGATGGTGTGGGGGTAGAGGCAGGGTGAGAGATTTCTGTAATTGTTCCATTGAGGATTTGGCAATGTTTTCTGCTAAAAAACACTGGTCATATGTAGTCCAGCCTGGTTTCTTTAACTCACTATGTAACCAAGGATGACCTTGAACTTGGGATCTTCCTGCTTCTTCCCTCCCAAATGCCAGGATTACAGGTGTTTGCCCAGCTTTATCCACATAGAGGGTGTTGAACCCAGGGCTTTGTGCATGCTAGACAAGCACTTTACCAACTAAGTGATATCCCCAGTCCTTGGCAGTATAAATTAAGCTTTATGGACTAGATGGGGTATGCCACCCTCTGGGTTGCATTTTGGGGGAATACAAGGTTTCTATCAGGCCAGAGATGGTGGAGAAGGAATAGAAATTAGAAGAATAGAGGGGACAAAGTCCATAGGACTGGATCTGTAGTTTGAGGGGGGAAGAAACAGGGATGTTATGTGTAGTTGTGTAGGGTGGGTTACTGCACAAGAGCCCCCAGGAAAAGCTGAGCTGGCTGGAAGGGAGGATAGTCTCTATGGCACCAAGGTGATAAAGGATTTGGAGACTATACCATCATGGAAGGAAGGAAGGGCCATAAGTGATGTTCAGATTTTTGTCCTGGGCAATTGGGGTTTCAGGCAGGGTAGGGTAGGAGTTGGAGGAGGAGCTGCCGAGTCAGCAGGAAATGACAGCTGTGGAATTCAGGGCTAAGGCTCAATGAGAGGTGGAAGTTGGAGACAGGTAAGCTAGTCTTTGGTGATATAACTGGAGCTGGGGAGCTGGTCCAGAGGCCATGAGACTGAGCTAGCTTGGGGTAAACCTGGCTCTGCAGGATGGCTAGAGGAAGATGTGGAAGGCAGGGAAGAGAGATAGACAAAGGAAAGAGGTGGGGGCGAGGTCTTTTCCAAAAACTTGTCTGGGAAGGGTTAGAGAGACCCCATGGTCAGGTAGGGCTAGGTCTGTGTGGCCTGTGGGGCAAGAGGCTGGAAGCCACACAGGGTCAGTGTCTACACTGAGACTCCCAAAGGAGGGGTCTGGCCCTGAGTGGGAGAACACCTTTCTTTGGGGACTCAGGGAAGGAGGAGGTATGGAAAAAGGCTTAGAGGCTGTGGTGGAGGCTGGGGGGCCTGGGCTACAGTTGGGGTTGGGGTCATGTCCTCTGCCCCCCTCCACCTATCCTTAACTTAGTTGTCCTCAGCAGGTTTTATAGCCTCTGGTCAGTTTTATCTCTGGAATGGCCAGGAAAAGTTCTAGAAGGACAGAAAAAAGACTTTCAGACTTTATTCCCCAAGACCTGAGGCTTTGGTAGGGAATCACCAGCACCTTTAGAGGGCTGGAGGAGAGATGCCACTTTGCAACGACTGGACTAAAGGGAGGACTTCCTGGCCCTGTGGGACAAGACAAGGCTGCACACCCGAAGGGGCTGGTGGCCCTTTTTAAAAAAAGAGGACACTGAGAGGTTAGGACACTTAATGTAAGTAGCTGTGCTGCAAGGCCAGGGGCAGCCTGGACCGAGGAAGGGCTGGGAAATGCGGCCCACTGGGCAGGTGAGGGAGTCTGGGCCTGACAGGGGAGAGAGGAAGAGACGGGAGTGGGGACCAGGCGGGCGGGCAGGGGCTTCGCGGCGGTGTCTCCACAACAGGAAGCGTCTCATAACATACCTGTGGTTTGGCTCCCGGCAGAGCCGCCGTCTGGGGTGGTGGGGCCTGGATTCTGCTCGGGTCGGGTTCCACCAACCCCATCCCTGGGGCCCGGGACCTGGGCTGGGGTCATCCCCGCAGTGCCGGGTTGTGGGTGGCGCCCTCCCTTGGGCTCCCGTCCGCATTTCTGATGGGATGGCTGGGAGGAGGGACAGGAGGGGAGCCAGTGGGGGGAGGGCAGGGCGTGTCTCCGGGACCCTTGGGACGGGACCCCTGGTAGGGGCTGGCTGCAAGGGGAGGAGTTGGTCAGCGCCTCATCCATCCCCTCTCGGTCCGGAAGACACTGGAGCACTCACTCCCAGCCAGTCTCCTCCGCTTCCCTGGGAGGAGGCCAGGCTGCCCCAAAATGCTGACTTGGACGAAATGCTGTTTTACGGCAATTTGTTGAAAAGGGGGGAAATCCCCTTAAGGACTTGCAGCTGTTCAAACACCGCGTCTGCTCCGTCGCCGCCACTGCTCAATCCCCTGAATCAGCGTCTCCCACCGACTAGGCTGCGCCAGCCCTGGCCTCTTTCTGTCCACACTTCCCAGAGAGGGTGATAGCTTGCCCATGGTCACACAGCCAGACCATCAGAGCTGGCTGGAGCCTCAGGACCCTCCTTTGAAACCCTGCCTGGCCAACAATCCTGCTGGGAGAACAAATAAATTGTCCCCGTCACATCTGTGTTCTGGAGTAAGATGTGCCCAGCAGAGACCAGAATCAGGTAGTCACAGGCCTCTGAGGAAAGGCTAGAGTGAGTTGTTACTGTGTACTTGATAATTGATTGACTGAGCCAGACTCTCCTATAGC